GGCTGCTTTCCTCTAGCAAGGGCTTGGCTGATGTATTGGAGTTTAGAGATTGCTGATCAAGCAGACAAAAAAGAAGGAAGAGAAAGAAGAGAAGGAAGATTACTCCTAAATCCTGAAAATGGAAAAGCACAGCTCTAAACAGAATTTCTCGAATGTATGCAAACTGCTAGGGAAGTGTATTGCTCTGATATTTCTCGAGGAAGGAAGAAGGTAAGGGAAGAAAAATTACTGAATGGTGTCTGCAGAGGTTTTACTGGCCAAAAATTATGAGAGAATAGTGAGTGTCATGGGTGCAATACAGGATGTGACCAAAAGTATGTATTCTATCACCATCTGTTGAAACCAGGTGGGGCAGTGATCCTTATCTCTGTGGGAGATACTCTGTTAATGGGCCATCTGTTAAAACCAGGTGGGGCAGTCATCTTTATCTTTTCCACAACCCATCATTCTTCCAGGGAGATATCTTCTGCTAATGGGCCATTGAGTCCCACTGTTATGACTGAAAAAATTACATCATCCCATTTGGAGATGCTCCACCCAAGGGGAGGAGCCAAGCATTTCCTACCTAGATAAAATCTGAGATCTGGAACACCAAGGCAGCCTTTTTCCACTGGATTCCAGAGGAAAAACTGGACCCTTCTTACATCATCACTGGACCTTCAGAAGAAAACTGCACCCTTCTGCTGGACCACTGCTTCAACTGAACCAATCTGTCACTCCAGGACGACTGCAGCCACCATTTAATCAGACTGCTACCAACACCCTGACTGACAGGATGTCAGATTGTATTCTGACTCTGTCAGTGTTTTGTTTTTTTTGTATTACTGTATTTTTATTTTAATTTTCCTAGTAAAGAGCTGTTATTCCTATTCCCATATCTTTGCCTGAGAGCCCCTTAATTTCAAAATTATAATAATTTGGAGGGGGGGGGGTACATTTTCCATTTCAAGAGAGGCTTCTGTCTTTCTTAGCAGACACCTGTCTTTTCAAACCAAGACATTGAGGGAAGAGACAGAGTAGGCATAGACAGTCAAAAGGAAAGAAAAATGAAAATAAGTGGAAAAAAGGGGACTACTGCTATGAAAAAACAAAGCATAGTCCAAAATGCTATGTTAAAATGATATTACCTCATTATCCAAGGCATTTATTCAAGTAGGAATGGCATTTTCAGGTGAAGTGCTCATTCTGGACATTCGTGGGACAATTGTCATTATGAACAGACCTATCTTTCCAGTCTTCATGATTATTGGGAAAGCTTTTGGGGAAGAAAAACATCTTTCCTTCTTTCCTTACCGGTTCGGCACACAGTAAAAGCACTTTTATATTTATGTATTTTCTTACCCAGTAAAAATCACCAACACCCCAACCAAATGACTATGGAAACTCACAAAATAGTGAAAACATAGAAAATTTTAAAATCTACCACATAGCAGGAAAGTCTTAAATAGAACATTTTCCTATGGGAAAACCAAACTGTATTTCACACCAGGAAAGAAAATCAGATCAAGGAGAATGTGAATGGCTATCAGTGGGATTGATGTTTCTCCTGAGATCTCTGGCTTTAGGACTTCTGCTTCACAGTATTTCCCATGTGACTTCAAACTCCCCAGTGAAGTTTCTCACTGTAGCAATACAGCTGGAGAGCAGGGCTCAGAGCATTGCTCAACTTATGGCTGAAATGGATGTAATAGGTTTGGTAGGCCACAAGCCCTGGCAAGCTGATGCAGAACCCTGAATGGAGAAGCAAAAAGTATGCTTGGTGTGCTTTGTTTTACATAAAACATGCAAGTCCGTACATGCCGATGCTGGTCTGTACAGGTCTGTGCAGAGGGTCTGTGCAGAGCTCTTTCTGATTAAGTAATGTTACTTAGAAACACCAATCATGTAGTTGTGCTGTTTTTAGCTTGTAGTTGAAAAGGTATATATTGATGTGTGAAATCAATGAATCAGCTTCATGTTTGCATCAAACGGGGATCCATGTCTTTGTTGATTGCCATCACCCACCTATTTATCATTTGCTTTATCAACTGAGGAAAAGGGACTGCATTTATAGTTTTGTGTATGGGGAACTCTGCTGCAACAGAGGCTGTAGGATAAAGCCTGGGGAGATCAGTCCTGCTGAGATATCTCAGTTTCATTGACATTTCCACAAGTTTTTCAATGTTTTGGACTCTCAAGATTTCAAGGAGCCATTTTATTGCAGGCTGGGCCAAGGAGAAATCAGTCATTTTCCCAGGGATAAATTCTTTTCTGCAATTCCTAATACTATTGCTGGTACTGCTTCTACTCACACAGGAGTATCTGCTATCCACTAGTATTTACAAAGCACTTCACATGTGATAAATATGCTAAAAGATAAAAAAATCCTTTCCCAAAAGACACAAAAAAACCTCTGCAGTTTGCTTTGTTATCAGTTGACTGTGGATAGACCTAGCTCAGCCAAAGTAGAATCAGGGTATTTGATCTCTGTCTTACCATAAGTCTATCAGTTTGTCTCTGATAACTGGGCAAACTGGTAGAGCACACACAAACATCCAGTCTGCAGTGTCCCTCAGCCCTACACAGGAATTTAAATCTTAACTGAGTAAGTCAGCAGGGAAACAAAAACACGAAGCAGCCCACTCATCATTCTGACTGAACCCAAATAATTAAATTATCTACTTGATTGAAAGCAAACAGAAAACATGTGCTTAGTGATGTACACCTGAGCAGCCTGGCCTAGCGGAAGGTGTCCCTGACCACACCAATGGGGTTGGAACAGGAGGCTTATTAACATCACTTCCAACCTAAACCATTTTGGGCTTCTATGATTTTGCACCTTAAAGGTTTTTCTCCAAAGTCTTACATTTCATGTTACACTTATAATGGTGCTTAAAAACCTGTACCTTAATTCCTGACTGAAAATTTTGATTTAAAAGAAACCACTATCATTCTTGATTTAGAAACAGGTAACTAAAGTACCAACGAACAGAGCAATACACAGAATGTTACTCAGGAACTGCATGGTAAGAAAAAGGGCTGAAGACAAGTATTTCTATGGAGTTCCACTCTGTAGGATTATTCCCCACTTAACATAAACTTTTTTCTGTATGTTATCTCTGCATACAGGTCTGTGAAGTACATTTTTATTTATTCCTATGTGAAGAGACGTGAGCTTGCTTCTTTCTTCCCTTCCATAAAGCTGTATTCTGCTGAAAAGCAGATTTGAGCAGTGCTCCTACCTTCTGACATCATTTCATGGTGTGTTCAGGGAAGTATTCAAACTTGACATTGAATCATTAGGCATAATACTGCCACTGCAGGGGATGATTACTGCAATAAGAATTCATTTTCTTTAACACTATATGCGAGAAGGAACAAATAAAAACCCAGGCTAGATGCACTGTCATGAAAAGGTGGGTGATGTCAAGAATGAAAACCCTGAAGATTGTTTTTGGTAGTCAGGGTAAGAAAATTCCCTGAATTGTGTGGAGGGTTGCTGAGCATCTCTGAAATTAAGACTTTCCCTTTCTTAACAAGGTTTCTCATGCTGCAGAGGCCCATTTGCATCTTTCTCAGGGATGGACACTGTTTCCAGCCTGATCCATACCCTGATCTGACCTGATACCTAGAGGCAGAAGCACAGCAGTTGGAGCAAGGCACAAGTGTCCTTTTCAGATGCTCCTTTTTAATGAGACAAGCAAAACATCCCTCTTTGCCTTGATAAGCTCATGGGCTTGAAATATGCCTTTGGATGACCCCTTTCCATGATTAATTTCCTAGAAGGTCTATTGATCCAAATTACCTGCTTTGGTAAATTTGGAGGCTACCTGTGACAAACTAACCCAAGGTGTTTACCAAATCGATGCACTGACCAGCTGTGCTGTCCTCTCCACAGCCAGATCTTCAAAACAAATGACACTTCGCAATGCACTGCCTATATACTGCTGGAAAAATTTTGGTCACAAAAAGACACAAGGTCTTCTCCAAGACACAAGAACGGCACTGTTTTTCTATCTCCAAAGGGCATCACAAGGATCTATTAATAAGACTCTTCAAATGGGCTCCTGTTCCTTAAATAGGCTCTTCTAGCATTACATTAGCAAAGAAGAACTCATGATGGATAGCTCTGTATACAGCTGATCTCCATGGGGGCTTAAGTGAGCTGAAGATAAAGGAATTATTTTCATATTTGATCATGTAAATGTCACTGGATATATTTGCAACAATCCACTCAAATCTTCCTGTAGGTATATGGAGTCATATTTGACAACAAGCTTTCAAGATATACTCAAGTGAGGCCCTTTATGAGACCTCTCATTAGAAGTAAAATAATTTACAGCTTCTTCCATTCCCTGCCTTTTTATCACATGCTCCCACTCCTGCAGTCTCCCTTGATGACAGGATGGTACATGGCATACAAAATATTAATGGGAAAAACATGGGACTGGCTTTGGTGCAAAGATGATAATGAAATTTGCTATTGAAGTAGTAAAAGAGCTCCGTGTATGTGGGATGTATGCATCCCACTGTTAACCAGAACTGTCTTTAAAGTTATTTTAAAGTCTTTACCCATTCCTTATTTCATTTAAACAGCTCCTTTCCTTTGCCTGTGTCATTTGCCTAACTAGATTTTCATTTCTCAATGTTGCAGCAAACTTTTGTTCATATCATCTTTTCTTAACATCTTTGTCTTGTTCAAAGCCTTTTCAAATTAATTTGATTGTAAAAAGTTATTATACTAGCAGTTGAAAGTACTGAGCAGCACAACTACAGTGCACAAAATGCATACAGTGATGTTAATTATTTACCAGTTCCTAGTATGATTACATTTTACATAGTGATGGCACTCGGGGGCTTAATAGCTGCATAAAACATTGTGTATGTTCTCTACTGTCCTGGAATAAATCATCGCTGAAAAATTTAGCTCTTAGAAATAAAACATACCATTTGGTCATTTACCAGGCTTACGACAAGTGATGAAAGCTCTACAGAAGTATTTCTTTTCAACAATGCCCTACCTTTGAAGAAACAGTCCTTGCTGTGGATAATGTAGATTTTCTTCCTCTGCAGACATGAGGCTCGGTGCAGCTGACAGTGATTTTCATAGAACCTGCCATCAGATCCACAGATGGGCATGTAGTTGGACTTGCAATCCTCAACACACCTGCACTCGGGCTGGTTCGTGTCCCTGTTCACCACACACATGCTGCCCCGGCCACAGTACTTCTTCTCACAGGATGCACTCAGGCCGTCCTGCCCATAGAGCACTGGGAAGAGCAGAAAATGCCACCGTAAGCTACATTTTTCTCAACAGACATGGCTGCTGCAGCAGCACAGCCCTGACAGGAGCAGGAGCAATAAAGGTTTTGGAAGCCAAAAATGCTTCCCTTTGAACAGCAGCAACTTGAAGAGACTGCTCAGATCTGCACTCCCAGCTCTCCCTTATCACAACACTGTGCTCAAAGTGCTTTATTGGGAAGTGATCTAAGTCTTCACGAAACTGGGGCCCAGAATAAAACTGAGTGAGAGCATTTCAGTGCCCACACATTAACCATGAGTTACATTCAGAAAGCAACCTGAAACCGTACAGTAGTCCAGCCACAAAACTCAGCAAAGTGCTTTAACTGTCAGCACTCACCTACTGTCCACATATAGAGTCCAACATCGCCCTGGGAGCCAGGCAGAAGCTCCCAGAAACAGAACACCCTCCAGGCTAAAATTCACACAACTTTCAAGAAAAGCTCAAACAACTACTGAGAGCTTTGAAAAAATAACCCCCAAGAAAGACTATTACTGAAAGGAATGTTACTGACTATCACTGAAGGGAATGACATGGGAAAAAGCTAACCATTCTAAAAGTGACCATCAGTATCTATTCCTGCACTCTGAGTAATGACATATAGTGAAAAATAACTTTCTACTTATTTGAAGAGTTAACTGGATATGATCTTCTGAATATTACTGTGCTGTTTGATACTATTAGAAGGGTAAGGAAGCTGCCCTTGTGCAATAACATTTTCTGCTTATGAAGTTTCCTCACTTAAAAGCTTACAGAGAACATTACTATAATTCACACAGGACAGGGCACTTCCAAACAAGCCACTACTCAGAGCAATAATCAGCATTACACGCAACAAAGAGAGTTTGAGGAAATCAGATTATTCTATGCTAATTGGAGTTCACCGAGATGAACATTACAAAGGGGAATTGCAAAAGGCATAATTATACAAAGAATAAGCCTTGCACAGCCTTCCAACAGCCAGAGACTCTGGCTGTCCCTCAGCTAAGGACTCAGTCTAGACCAGCAACATGGTTTGGAAGCAAATCCCTTTTCTCTACATTTACAACATGCAGGTTTTGGCTCTTGGAAAGGTTTTGGTGTGTGCCAGCTCTCAGAGGATGTTTAAGCGCAAGGACTACTCCAGATGTGCTGCAGCATCCAGTGGAATGCATCCTACAGCCACATCTTCTAAGGTACATCCAGGGCTTTTTCCCTTCTAAGATTTTTCCAGCCGCCAAACCCTTCAGTATAGGAGCACAGAGCAGATCTCATCCATAGCCTCTTATCACACGTAAAAGAGATGTGAGAAGCATCAGTACCAGCTACTTCAATGCCATTTTATCATGTTAAATTCCGTGCTAACATCAACACCGCCCTTGCCTGCCCAGCATTTCATGCCAAAACAAAATGTCCCAGTGTCGAAGTTCCATTTCATCTACTTGTGGTCAAGGGGTTAAAAGCATGTACACAGAGACAAGCAAGAGTTTCTAACAAAACCCAATTTTTCCTGGTCCCCATTAAGGTTTTGTTTTTATTACTGTAAATCTGAAAGGGAAAAAAGTCTGTTATTGGATGATTAACTATTTGACTCAATAACTCATTAAAATTCCTCCAACTTAGCAAGCTAAGAAATATTGACTTTTCCTGACTTGTAATAAACTAGAAGGTCAAAGCATCTCTGAGCAGTGCAAAAAGTACTGTCCATGGAAGGAGAATCTGACTATACTTACTTTATTAATTGTTCCAGAATTTTGCAAATTATCCTCAGAAATGCAAATGTTGTGACCTCAGGGAGACCTCACTGTAAAGGTCATATTATTTATCAGTGCCTGCTGTAAATCAGAGCAGCCCTAAGGATGAGGACTTGAGGAAGCACTGGTCCAGCATCATCCTCCTCTTCTCAGTGGCAGGACCTGCATCAGTACAAGCACTTTCCTTTTCCATCACAATGTGCCTCAAAAGACACTTTTCAGAGACTGTTGCTGATATTAAAGTTATTTAAAAATCAAGATTCAGCAGCTATTATTGTCTATATAAATGTAATTCAGATATAACTACAGCAAAGACCTGTGTGAGCTGCCTTGATCACTAAAAATTGATCTCTCAGAGTTTGCACCAGCCAAGGACTGTGTTATGCATCTCGCTGAAGGTTATTGCTGCCTCCTCATTTAAGGTACTGCTGATTTAATGCACTAGGTCACATCTGAGCAGGTGACAGCTAAACCCTGCCCTGAGAGCAGCAAAAACCCTCTTAAGAGCTCAAGTATTTTTGGTATTTTGATTTGTAATATAAAATTTGCATAACTGAAGACAAACATTCTTATTAGAACGGGATTTTTAAGTTTTTAAATGATACATCAAAAATTTGTTAAAGAACCAGCTTATAGAAAAATGTAAAATACTTAATCTTTCGTCCACCTCTCCCAGTTACTGTGGAAGATCCCCAGAAACCCTTGGCTGTTGTGATAGGTTGACTTAGGAAGAAGAAACTCAGAGAGAGATTTTCTCTAAGAGAATTTCCTCTGTGGGGGTTGGGATACCTGCAACAGCCAATTAGAGAAAGTTAGTTCGCTCCGTGAACACACATTTTGAAAAAAGTAATCCAGAACTGGGTCTCTTTGTCTTTCCAGCAGCTGAGCAGGTAACATCAACCCGAGCTTCCCCCTCCCCCTATGCGGGGGCGGGGAGGCTCAGGAGGCCGCTTGGGCCCCGTTTGTCAACGAGGGGGATCCGATGGCCAGGGGGAGAAAAAGTTGTGTGATAAGACCTTCACGGCTTCCTCCTCCACGAGCCTGCGGCTCTGGCGTGGGGGGGAGGCCGACTTTTGCTGCTGCCGGACGGGCCGGGCCTGCCCGGGTGGCCATGAGCAGTGTGGGGCCGCAGCCCAGCCCCAGAAAGGCTGATTAACACCTCAGCGAGGCCTGAGCCTGGCCCAACTCTTGTAGGTGTGTTAAACTTTAACTCTTTAGTGTTCAGATAAGATTTGCAAAGCCTCCAGCCTTTCCTTTGAATATGAAAGAGAATAAGAAGATTTCTGAAGTCAGTGATGTAAGAGCTAAGTTTTTAAGATGGAAGGAGAATGAGAAGATGCTGAAATGGCTGAAAATCTTTCTGTAAAGTTGTAGGGATGAACTGATGTACTGAATATTCCTATAAACCATGGAAAGAGACATGGGGGGATGGAAATGTTCCATTTAATAGATGATTTGACTAAAAAGCACCTGTGTTAAGAATTTCTGCCCTGAGAAAAGAAGGGGATTTTGGTTTTCTGAAGATGAAGCCTGAGCAGAGAAAAAGGAGACAGAGAGAATCTTTGCTGTCGAACATTTCATTCTTAAAAGTAATACCCCATGGGGCAGACATGGCCCACATCTACAACTTTGGGACGGCTGTAGAGTTGGGAGGAGCGTCACGGTTGCAGGTTCCTTGGTGGATGCAAATCGTGAAAGATAAAACCACAAAAGAACTGTCTTTTTCCTTCTTGTGGGAAAAATCCCTACAACTTCAACAAGAAGAGGCTTCTCTCTCCAGAAGTGAACTGAAAAAGACTAAATTTGGGGACTGACCAAAGTATTTGTTATACGTTTGTTTTGTTGTTATGAAGATTGGGAGAGGGAGAGAAGGAGTGATCTGAAAAATCTTATTCTGAATTTTTTTTTCTTTCTTTTTGCTTGTGTTGTTAATAAATTTTCTTTTATACTTTCTCAAGTTTTAGGCCTGCCTTGCTCTTTTGCTCCTGGTTCTGTCTCACAACAGGAAAAATAAGTTTATTTAAACTGGCAACTCAAAACGAAGACATTTATGCCTTATTCATTTTGTTCAGAGTTTAATTTACTTTGTGTTCCCAGACGGACAATTCCTGGTTAGACACCTTAGTTTGGTAAGGGGTCAAGAAAGAGATCCTGCAGACAGCCAGAAAGGAAATATTCAAGTATTCAGTAATCCTATTGTGCTTCTCATAGTTCAAGTCCTCTGAAATCCGTGTCTGCAAACAGAGTGCTAACATCAGTTATCTTCGCCAGAACTTTGTAATGTTGACAACAGCTCTTTAATTAAATTATTATTTGCATAATCCTTTCAAGAACTAAAGCTCCCCACAAGCTCACTCAGCTGTACCAATGTATCCTCTGCCCAGCAAGGACAGCAACGGGGTGTGAAATAGAACAGAGCAGTGTAAATGGAGAGGAAATGAAGTGTTTGACTGTACAAGCACTGTTGTCTTTATCCAAGTAACTAATTCATTTGGAGCAGCACCATGCATCATGGAAAGGGACTTTCCTTGATTGCATCAAGGTGGATCCCACAGGCAGGACACTGGTGCAGCTTACAGGCACAAAACATGCCTTTCACCACTTTTTTTGGAACTATTAAAAAGTGACTTGAATTCCTCATTCTTACAAAGATTATTAAAAACAGCAATGGGAAAGGTAATCAAGTGAAACTACCAACTAACTGCACAAAGTATTTATGATCCCCACTGTACTGCATGGAAAAGGCATAATTTAATCAATTTACTAGTTGCAATGAGAGTAATTCACATAGGTTAAAAGTTTATCATCTTGCAAAACAAGCCACTATTCAACACCAATTAACTATACTCAACATAGCTATGTGTTACACTGCATTAAGTCCAGAAGGATGGACAGAGGAAGACCAGTCTCTTACACTCACAAACACACTCGACTTCTCAAATTAGTTCCTGGTTGCCCCTGAGAAATTTGGAATTCTAGTGGAAAACTGACAAGAGTTTGGTGCAGGCAGAAAATAACTGAATTCAGGAATTTCATAAGGCTGGTTAACAGGCTGCCTGCTTCTCAAAGCAAGGCTTTAATGAGGAAATTAAGAGGTTCCTGCCACGTTGGAGAATGCACATCCTCTAACTGTACATTAATTCTTAAAGACAGGGACCTCATCTACCTTTTGCACACCACTAAATGTGTTACAGATCAGACTAAGGTGTGTCGAGATTGTTATGGGTTTAGGTCT